AGAGAGAGAGAGAGAGAGAGAGAGAGAGAGAGAGAGCAGTATTTTGATCAGCTACTCTCGTGTGAAGGCGAGCAAAGGCTCTCTCCGTCATGCTCTAGTGCCTTGTCTTGAAACTCTCATCTCCGCCCGAGGCTTTGAAGACAGAAGGACACATTGTGCTCGCACAATTATGTTGAATGTGTATGATACTTCCTTGTTTTATTTTCTTCTAAGTTCGAGTCGTTTACAGCTCCGACATGATTCGATTAGAGAGATGAAGGACTTAATCTCCCACCACGATTTCTCGTAGGTTCTTTGATGCCTTATAATATTTTATTATCTTATCACGCAGGCCTACATTTTCAAAAGCTGTCGTGTCTTTTAATCATTGTACAATGTATTATTTATTTATTCGAATTATCCCGCAGACCAGCCTCAGTTGTGTACCGGTTAGGCTCTTCGCTGTGGCACACAGAAGACCGTGGGTGGTTGGCGGGGGATCTGGTGTGGTTTGCTTCTTCTTTCCTATAAAACATAAATAACGTCCTTGTCTCCCCTTCTTCTTTTTTATGTTTGTTACTCTCTTGTAAAACCTCTAATCTTCTCTCGATCATATGACCTTATGCAGTTGCCAGCGCCGTAAAACCTCTACTAAAACTAAAAATAACCCCACAGAAGACCCGAGTTCGATTCTTTTGGTGGAAGAATTTTAAACGAGTATCTGTATGTCTTTCTGTTGGGATGTTGCATCCCTCTAAACCCGGGTTGGCTTTTACGGGAAGGGTCGAAGCCCACTTTCTATATTCATTTAGATCGGGTGGATGGAGACGTAAGTTCGTTTACATTAAAACAAAACCAAAAAATTTTTTTTTTAAACCCCAAGAATAACAAACAAACAAACAAACACAAAAGCAAGCAAAAACTGGTGAGTTCCCAAACCTCTCAGTCCGTTTGGCTCGGACCAGTCAATGACGTGGGTGGTTGGTGGGTGCTGTGGTGAAGTTTATTCTCTCTTTTCTTTCAAATATCTATAGTCTGTCTCCCCCCTCCCTCCAGCCCTCTTTCCTTTCTTTTTTATGTTACTACTCTCTTGTAACATCTCTACTCTTCTGCACTTATATGACTTAATTGTGTTGCATTGGCCTTGAAACTCTTACTGAGACTAAAATCACAAACTATCAATATTAGATTTGAAGTTCCTGTCTTTTGAATGACATAAACATTTTTTTAAACCGGATTAAACCCCAAACTACGCTATGTTTGTTTCTTGCTGAAGATTTATTTTCCTTGCGTTACTGTCATTGCTAGTGTAGCGCTTTCATTCTTGGCCTTGTTTTTGTTGTTGTGTTCTCGTTTTAGTTGCTGTTGTTGGTGTTTTTCTTATTGCTGTTGTTTTTGTTTTTGTTATTGCTGTTTTCTTTTGTTTTTTGTTGCTGTTGTTTTTGTTTTTGTAATTGCTTTTTTCTTGTTTTTGTTGCTGTTGCTGTTTCTTGCACTACTATTTTCTACTGGTAATAAGCGAGATCTCCCCTCTAGAGTGCCACTCCCCGGTAGCTTTAGGCCCTCATCAATGAAAGAATACCCCCCCCCCCAAGCCAAAAAAATATTAAATGAATTTAAAAAATTAAAAAATGAAGAAAATTAAAAACCCAAAACAAAACCAACCCCCACTCCCCCCCAAAAAAAACAACAACAACAACAAAAAAACCTCGACAGCTTACACAATGACACATTTCATTCACAGTGTACACCAGCCCATTCGGTGAATAACAACACTCTCAAATACATAATATGCACCCGTAATATGACGAAAGAATGCTTGACGCATATTATACAAAAAGACAATCACTGAGGCTGTTGATTACTGTATTAAAGTAATGTATTATATTATTTTGATGTTGTTGCTGTGTGGTATTTCTCTTCCGATATGAACATGGATCCAACAATTTAAAAAAAGAGAAGAGAAGAAAAGAATAGAATTATTTTTAAGGAACACAATGTCATGCTGTTTCTACACTAAATACTTTAGTGCAAAGATAAACATCAACAAACAAGAAACACCATACAAACGAACACACACACACACACACACACACACACACACACACACACACACACACACACACACACACACACACACCAGAATCAACCGATAAGAGAAGGCTTCGGCCGCCACCTGGGCAAAATTCAAAATGTCCTACCAACTGAAAATGTTAGGTGTGTACCGCGCACTCATATGACCTTATTATGCAGTTGCAAGCGCCGTAAAATACTTACCAACGAAAAACAAACAAACAAACAAACAAAACAAAAAAACCTCCACCAAAATCATTCTTTCAAAAACTTTATATTTGATACCATTAGCGCAGTACGTTTTGACACCAAAATAATACTTACGACCTTAGAGCATGCATCAAAATAACATTGAGTGTGTATCTAGCTTACGATTATCATTGTTCATGTTGCTGCTCATTTATATTATGTATGTGATTGTAAGCCTACTTGTGTGTGCATGTGCGTGCACGTGTGTGCGTGTGTGCGTGCGTGTGTGTGTGTGTTTGTGTGTGTGTGTGTGTGTGTGTGTGTGTGTGTGTGTGTGTGTGTGTGTGTGTGCGTGCGTGTGTGTGTGTGTGCGTGTGTGTGTGTGTACTCGTGGTGGAACACCAAACCAATGTGCCAGGATCTGGACAATAAAGATGTATCTTATCTTATCTTATCTTATCTTAATGTGTTTTATTTTTCATTTTCATTTTCCCCAGACTGCTGCAGGTTTTGACCGGATCTTCCAAGTTCCTGACTCGTCCTTAAGTCCGTTCTTCACACGGAGTCTTCTTCCCTCATCCTCGGTGTGTCCAGCTCATCTGTGTCGTTGCTGGCTCAGCCCAAGACTCTGTGTCCAGCTTTTTTTTCACCACGGTCAGCTCAAGACCCGTCCCGTTGTCCAGCCTGTCTTTGTCAGAGTCAGTCCTGGACAAACTGTCCGTCCTGATCACGTTTTGTGTGAGGTCCTGAGTTCTCATCCCAAATCTACCCCTGAAACAACTCCAAACAAACGCCAGATCCGACTACGAGTGGTGGATAACAATTTTTAATCTGACCCCGACTCTTGCTTTTTCCGGGGTTAATTTTTTACAGTATTTACTCATATATATATTATATACACAATGGTGTAAACTCGCAACTTGCAGTCAATAATATTATGTGTTACATATGAGGGTTTTCAGGTTTGATTCCTACTTCTGTAGCTGAGGATTATAACATCACCGTGCGCGCACACTTCGCTTGATAAAGTCAGCAGTATTGTAATTAGAGAAAACACCGAAAGAATGACATGTAATTGTGTTAGCGTGACGTCACGAGAGCGCTTGAAAATATAGTCTGTCACTTTGAGGAAGTGGAAAAATATTTAGGTGTGCTGTTTGAAAAACCCTTGCAATGCTTGCGAATGTCACAGTTGGATCTCATTGCGTTTTATGTTTGTTCTAAGTGATAAAGTCGTAAGTCCAAATTCAGATGATTTCATCGGAGGTAGTAGGAATATAATCATACTCTTATGTTATTCAAAGTAGATAGTAAAATTGAGCTACTGATTTTTGAAAAGTATTACTAGACTAAAACATTCTGCCCTTGAAAAGGGCTCTGTGAGCAAAATAAAAACAACAACAAAAGCATCAGCTTGTCCGAAACATTCTTTTGGGAATTCCCGGTTGGCTGCGAGTCATTGGCGAACCTGGACAGCTGAGACAGCTTTGGGAAATTAGGAGGATATTTTCTCTCAACAACACTTTAGCAAGAGACCCCAAACTCAGACAGCTGGGGAAATTGTTCAGTTGAAACATCAGTTGGGAATTCCCCTCGGAGGGAAACGTCCCTCGCGTCGAAGTTTCATCGGGAAATTCCAGAACTGAACAGCGTCACTACTGCAGTGGGAAATCCCGAAACCGGGCAAAATCCCCTCCCTCCTCCCGTTAGCGGGAAACCCCTCAACTAAATATAGCCCGCTCTCCAGCAGCGGGCGTGACGCACGACAATTGAGCCCACCAGCTTCATGAGGATGGAACCGGCCAACAACTTCCTCTCCCACTCGGCCGGCCTGTCCCTCTACCCCGCCATCACCTCCTCCTCCATCCTCCCGCCCAGTCCAGGCGCTCAGGATTCAGTAGCGGCCCGCTCTGCCCTGGCCGTGTCGGGTCAGAACGGCTGGGGCAACTACGGCAACGACGGGCTGGTGCCCCACAACAGCTGCAGCATGTCCTCCTACTCCAACCTCCAGCTGGGCGCCAGCTTTCCCATGAACAGCAAGGCGGCCGCCTACAACGCCTTCGCGGGCGGGGACTACCTCAACAACTGCCGCCAGATGCAGATCTCCTCCCTGGGCTCGCTCAACGGCATGGGCCGCTACCACCCGGGCTTGTACGGGGAGATGTACCAAGCCGGACACCCGCCGGCCTATCCGAACGGCGGCTTTTATCCGGATATGGGAGCCGGTTTGCCACCCCTGCCCGGCCGAGATCTCAACTGCTCCAGTGCTCAATCGGATTCCTCTTCCGGTGGTGAGTACTCGAAGGGTGGGTGCGATTAATTAGAGTAGAGTGGGCACGTATTTGGATAATTGGGTTAACAAGAGTGGGGTTGGAGTCGGAAGTCGTAAAGTCCAATTGAAACTTTGAAACAGGAGGCACACAATATATCCAGCAGGTCGGGCCTGTACATCGGGTCTTGGGTGTTTGTTATAGTGGTCAGTGTTTTACTTGTCGTTTGGAGACGTCTTGAATATGCACGAAGTGTGCAAAGGAAAACAAGAGATGTCCAGGTTGGGTTGGTTTTTTTTTTTTTTTTTTTTTTTGGGGGGGGGGGTTGTGGATAATTTGAGTTGTTAGGTGGAAAGTATTTATTAATGCATCTCCTCAGACTCACATTAGTGCTCTGGACTAAAGCCAGATGAGTCGCCCCAAAATGAAGTCTTGGAAAACAAGTTTGACTAAATGAAAAAACGTAGGCTATGAAACTTTTTATCTTTAGTTTTCTTAAGATGCCGAAAAGTGACATCCCCTGATTTTCTCTCGTGCCCTTCACATGTAACTAAAACGAATACTTATTTGACTAACGGGGTCTGCAGGATTTACTTGAAGTGGGAAGTCGGAAATATCATTATATACATGAACATTGAAGTTGGGTGCACACTTAGGTATCTTGCCGGGTCTGTTTTATCACATTGAGGCTTGTACTGGTCAAATAGAACCGATATGCACTATCAGATCAGATAGTATTATATCGGTTCGGGTCGGGTCGGGTCGGGTCGGGTAATTGCAT